CGGGGGGGGGGGGGGGGGGGGAGGGGACTGGCGGGATTGATGGGGTGAGGGGAGTCTTTGTGTTTCGATAGTGGATTGGTGATGGATGGTGGGTTAGGGGATGGGTTTGTGTGGGATAGGGAGGTTGTAGGGACGCTTTATGTCTGTGTTATGGTTAGCCAGTTTTTGAGGGTTAGTCTGTCGTTTTTGATGGTGCCGAGTAGCCCATTGCCTAGTTTGGAGGTCGAGAACTTTTGGATTGCTAGGTTTTTTTGTCAGGGTCGGTTGGAGGGCGTGGATTTCTGTGTCTATTAGTTGTCTGATAATGATGAGTGGGTTTTCTGCGGTGGTGAGTCGGTTTTCGAAGGTGTTATCGCATCTGTTTTTCCATATGGCCCATAGGGTGCTTTTCTTGATTTGGGAGGAGAGGAAGGTTTCGAAACCTTTGAGCGGGGGTGTTTGTTTGTGGTTGAGGAATAGTGTGGCCGGGTTGATTAGAAGGGGGGAGTTTGGGAAGAAGACAACAGAGAGAGGAAGGGTGTCAAGAGGCGCTGCGCACCGCTAGCGCCGTGGTACCTCGCGGGGGACCGGTTGGCAGGGCCCAGCCTGCTCTCTGCGTGACGCATCAGTGAGGCTGACGTGGCCTTCACGTCGGACCGTATGTGCACCACGTGGCGTCCAACGTAGTGCCCGTTGAGAAGGATGTGTCTAGCAGGGGAGGGGTGTTACTAGGGTTGTGAGTGCGGTGTGTGGCGTGGAGAAGCTTAATGTCGCGGAGCGATATAGGGTCGTTTGTGATGGAGCCTGCAGCATCAATGGGCCCTGCCTCGTCTCTTTCATGGTGGGACATGGCATCACCGGCGGACATAGTTGGCATGTATAAACAACAAATATGCGAGGCAATCGAGGTCATCCTGCAAGCCGAGGGTAAACTGCCGCTGTTGATACTGCATGAGGTTGACGGCTCCATCCTTGAATGGTGGGACGTGCTGCAACAGATCGCTTCCTCATTGCTGGGCACTCTTCATGAGGAGCCAGCAACAAGTGATTTACAAGAGTGTTTTTTGCAATTGGAAGAGCTTCAACAAATCACAGCACAACAGCTGGCGGCGATCACCATTGGAAATTTGCCAGTGGATGTGTGCTGCCCTGCTGCACTGGGAGTTTGGGAGGAGACTGATGGGGGGGCGGCTCCCCCACTCCCAACGTCTTCGAACGAGATCTTTGTGGAGGGGCAAGATCTCTCTGCAGCACTGGGGGCGGAGGGTGATAACTGTAACAACCAGCTCTATATCGACGATACTAACAACGATACTGCTGTTGCTCCCACCAACAACGACAACAACAACAACAACAACAATACCAACAACAACAACAACAACAACAACAACAACGATAACATGATGGCTGCAAATGAAGACGATGGTGGCCGCCAGAATAACGGGAGGGTAAGTGTGTTTGGGGTTTCATTTTTCTGCCCCCCCTTCTTCTCTCTCCCCCTGTCCCTTCTCCTTTGCAATTGTGTTGACGATAGGGGGGCAGGGCGAGAGGCCTGTTTGCATGCTTTGCTTAGCATCTTGGAAGGGTGGGGGGGGAAGAAAGGGGCGGGGGGGGCGCGTGAGGGGATAGGATAGAGACTAGAACTACCTTACCATATTTGTTGGTATCCACGTGGTAATACGGTAGGTTTTGCCACGTGGCAACAGTGTAGGAGGTACTACGGTTTGCCACTGTGATAAATCTTGCCACGTGGACGGGGTTGGAGGACGGGGTGATTGGCGGTAAGTTTTTTTTGAAACTCCTCTGGGTTCTCCCATGTGGCTACTCTGTTTTTAGTTTTTCCTAGGATGCCTGCTCTGAATGCCCCCTCTTCTCATGGCGCAGTATGATAGATGAGTACTTCGGAGCAGGGATATGAACTCATGAATTGGTGGGCAGTCAATCCCCTCTATTGAGGGTAATCGAAGTTGTTCACCAGTTATAAATATGTGCCTGTGTTGCTGCTCGGCTGAATTTGCAGAAACTGCGTCTTGGGCTAATAGCAGTGAGACTGCGTCTTGGGCTTAAAGTTAAGAAGTTAAGAAGTAATCGAAGAGGTTTGCAGAAACTGTGTCTTGGGCTTAAAGTTAAGAAGTTAAAAGAGCCCATTATAAGTAAGTTAGCTAATAGCAGTGAGACTGTTATGGATCGCTACGTCGAAGGGGTACAAGTATACTTTCGGCTGGAGGCAGAGGGGAAGGTGGAACGTGTTCTCCACTCTCTGACCTTCTTGGTGGAGGATAACTTACCCTTTGATGTGTTATTAGGCATGGATTGGGGTGAGGCTGCGCATGCGGATCTAAAGCTAAGGGAACATGAATGTTGGCTTCCAAGTCCGCAAGGAGGTAAGAAGAAAATTCGCCTCTATCATGAATCTKGACAAGAAAGCAGCCTAGCTCACTGTTGTATGAGTGCCCCAACGTTCGCTCGCCATATTAAGAAAYATAACTTGCATGACCAAGTCTTTGTTGCATATGTGCGCCCAGTAAAGGAAGGAGAAACTAAAGGAGAAGTCAGGACTCAAGAGATTGAGAGAATCCTGAAAGAGTTCGCAGATGTGGCAAAAKCCCCGAGCGGTGTAGTCGAAAGACCRATTCGTCACCGCATTGATATCATTCCAGGGAGCGCGCCCCCGAAGGGGCCTATTTATCGTATGTCGCCCCAAGAATTGGATGAACTACGAACCCAACTCGATGAATTGTTGAAAAATGGTTGGATAAGACCTAGCTCCTCGCCCTATGGTGCGCCTGTGCTCTTTGTGCATAAAAAGGACGGCGGCGTTCGCATGTGTATAGATTATAGGAGGTTAAATGATATAAYAGTGAAAAATGCCGAACCATTACCGCGAATAGAYGATTTGCTAGATCGCGTGCAGGGAAGCAAAGTGTTTTCAAAGATTGATCTAAAATCCGGCTACCATCAGATTGAAGTTGAGCCGGAAGACCAATATAAGACTGCCTTTAGGACAAGGTATGGACATTATGAATTCGTAGTTTTGCCCTTTRGTCTAACGAATGCCCCTGCTACTTTCCAAAGAACGATGAACGAACTCTTTCGTGAATGGCTCGACAAATTTGTTGTGATTTATTTAGATGATATTTTAATTTTCAGCAAAGATGAAAAAGAACATGCTGAGCACCTTCGACTTGTGCTAAATAAGCTAAGAGAAGCAAAACTCGAGATAAACCCAAAGAAGTGTGAATGGGCTAAGCGTCAGGTTCTATACCTGGATTGATGAAGATGGGGTCAAACCGGAAGATGCTAAGATAGCAGCAATAAGAGATTGGCCGAACCCCCGCACCTTGACTGAGTTGCGGTCGTTCCTTGGGTTAGCCAACTATTATCGAAAGTTTGTAAAACACTTTACGATAATAGTTGCTCCCCTTCGTCGATTGCTTAAGAAGGAAGTAATTTGGAAGTGGGATTCAAACTGCACTATGTCTTTCAAGCGTCTGAAGAGGTGTTTGATTAATTATCCGGTTTTGAAAATCGCAGACCCTTCATTACCTTTTGTGGTCACGACCGACGCTAGTCAATATGGTATAGGTGCTGTACTCCAGCAAGATGATGGGCATGGGTACAGGCCTGTAGAGTTTATGTCTTGCCGCTTACCTAACGAGAAGGTAGCCGCTTCAACGTATGAACGAGAATTGTATGCTCTACGTGAGGCTCTCAATCATTGGCGACACTACCTTCTAGGAAGGCATTTTAAAGTATACTCTGACCATGAAACACTTCGCTGGCTTAAAACGCAAGCTCGAATGACACCTAAGTTAACAAGGTGGGCTGCAGAAATTGATATGTTTGACTTTGAGCTGAAGCCAGTCAAAGGTAAGTATAATGTTGTTGCTGACGCACTAAGTCGTAGATCAGACTTTTTCGGTGCTATCGTGACTTATCTAGATGTAGGTACAAACCTACAAGAAAAAATTAGAGATGCGTATCCTTCTGATCCTGTTTATGGAACCATGATTAAGCTAGTGCAAGAAAAACCAGCAGAGTTTCCCGATCATAAAGTAACTCAGGGTCTATTGTTTGAACGAACTAATGTAAATGATAGGCTGTGTAACCTAATAATGAAGAGATTAAAAGTATGATCTTGGGGGAATGCCATGATACAGAAGGTCATTTTGGATGGAAGAAGACCTACGGAACTTTGTTGCGTTCCTACACCTGGCCTCGAATGAAAGCGGACTGTATCGCGTATGTGCAGGGTTGCCAAGTGTGCCAACGAAACAAAAGCACCACGCAATCGCCCCTCGGGCTACTTAAACCTTTGCCTATCCCTACTGGCCCTGGAGACTCTGTCTCTATAGATTTCATGGACACTAAGGTGAAGAGCAGGAATGGGAAAACGCAAGTAATGGTCATAGTGGATAGATTCACTAARTATGCTGTTTTTGTAGCTTTACCTGCGGAAGCAAAGACTGAATTGGTAATTCGGGAATTCTTTAACCATTGGGTAAAAGAC